GCGCCTAAACCAGTTGTGCTGGTGTCTGGACGGCCAGGCAAGCGAGTTTTTCGATGGGATTCAGGAGCGGGACCCGAATATGGGTTATTTCGGTGTAGTACGCCAGCTGGAGGGCCGGTTTGGATACCGAGAGCCTCCGGAGGCAACCCTGCTTGAATTTAACACTGCTAAGCAGGGTCTCACGGAATCCTTGCCTGAATGGGCAGACAAATTGCACCGGCTTGCATCCCGGGCATTTCCTGGGGTCCCAGATACTTACGTGCAGCGGCAACTGGTATTGCGTTTATGTCAGGGCTGCATCGATAGCGATGCTGGGTGTCATGCCCTTAATCAGCGCCTCTCTAATGTTGGAGAAGCAGTGGAGGCAATCCGCTGGTTTCAGCACGCGCATAAGGTCATGTACGGCTGTACCCGGCAGGCCAAAATGATGGCGACCGAATCGGGCGAGACCAGAGGGCCCGAGGTGTGAAGGGTGGATATTGCCTTGCGACTGGCGCGGGGCACTCCTGCAACCCCTTCCCCTTCCAGACTTGAGACCCGGATGTCAGAGTTGGTGAAAAGATTGGATAGCCAGATATCTGGTTTGTCTACCAGTTTGGATATCCGGATATCCGGCTTGGAGAAAAACCTGGAGAACCTTGCCAAGGCTCTAGGTGGGGCGCGAGGGATTTCACCGTCCCTGCCGGGGGTCTGACGAAGGTCGGACGAGAAGTACCTGGCCGACAAGTTAGGGATGGATGAGGTCCTCCCTGCTATTTCAGGGAAAGGCTTATGTCGAGAAGCTTTTCAATATTAGTTCTGTGGCAGTGGCTTTTTCCTCTTATGTAATTACCTCTTATGTAATTACCTCTTATGTAATTACCTCTTACCATGTAAACTTCTTCTTGGATACTGGATTACCTTATGGGTGATTTCATCTTCGAGCTGATAAGTAATTTATCGTTCCTGGTATCATCTGTTATACATGGTGGGGGTATGGTATGGATTTTTCCATGATTTCCAGGATAGTTGGGAATCCTGTGAAATTTATGTGATCTAGTAAGAGGATTAAGACAAAAATATCTTCTTATGTCTACCATGTCCACTTCTAAGTTATCTACATGAAAGCACATAAACATTTCCTTAGTCCATGCATACTGGAGATATGATCTTCATGTACTTCAGAATGTATGGATGTGTATTAGTTTAATCCTAGTTTTGTGGAATTAGTACAATTTGTCAAAATGCTTATGTGGATCTCTCCGTTGGAGTGAAACCTGTCCTACATGCTAATCATGTCGGTCATATTCATTAATCATCTTGAAAAAGGGGTGAGTGAGTTTACTTGGAGTGTGCGTTTTACTCTGTTTCACTCTACATCCTTTTGGCAAGCTTTTTTGTAATTAGGGTAGTTTTCTGTGGAGAGTTTCTCATTCAGCTTTCTTGTAGTAAAGTAAGGACTTTGCCATAGACATGTCAAAGTTGGCTGTAAGTTACGTCTATGGTTATAGCCTCCTGCTCCATGTCCTTATCCCTGTATAGCACTGCTGCTTGTTTGTAGAAATCTAGCACGGTCCATATTTATGCCTGTGTTCATGGTTTCCTCGTTCTTCAAGTGACTTAAGGGGGATGACGATAAGTATCCCTGCTATGTTTTGAGTGGGGTGTCAATGTGATAGACCCCTGCAATGATTTGAGAGGGGTGTCGATGTGACTGACCCCCCCCCCATAATGTTTTAAGTGGGGTGTTGATGTATACTCCACATGTTCTTTGGGAGGTAGGGGTAAGCGATCTCTCTTTCGGCTTTCAGGGTATTCATTGAACGATTCCCTCTGGGATATCGGGGTTTGTGATTATTGGGATATTTTGATTTGTTTAAATGTAGCAAACTGGGTATGGTTTCATCGAGGCCATTTGATTTGAACTACATTGGTTTAAATCAATTGCACATTGCTGGCACTCGTGTCACCCTTTGATTTTGTTTGCTTCTGATTTTCCTTTTTTAGAAACAAAAACTATACTGTTTGGATCACCCTTGTTTTTGTTTTTTTAAGTACAAAGAAAGGGGATCGGCATGATGTTTTCTTATTATATTGTGTTTATAATGAAATTGCCCTTTGAGGGCGTGATGTTTTTTATTATGGGATGTATAATGGGGTTGCCCTTTGTAATTGGCAAAGGGAACAGGGTTTTGTTCAAGGAAAGGAAGGGGAAAAAAGATTTTTTTTTTTTCCTCCGGGGACATCGTTTTGTATAAATTTTGTATGTTGTGACATGACCTGGCTGTTACAAAAGCCGGTCTTAGCGGGTTTGAGACACTGAATATGGTACCCGAGTTTTTTTTTAGGGTTTAGGTTCTCCCTGGGATGAGTTCTTTAAAACGGGGGGGGGGGGGGGATGTAGTAGTTTATGATATAGACTACAAGCACGAAGCAGACTGCATTAGCAGACTACGAGTGTAGCAGAGCATAGCAGTCTTCAATAGCCACCCTCACCACTAGAGGGCGCTATTCCTATTGAAAGCTTCCCTGGAATAGAGTCAACCTGAACTCTCTCTCTCATGCAACCGACACCTCAACCGAACAGACGTACCTTTACTGGAAGTTAAGGATGTCAAGCCTGATTGCCTGATACATTTCCAGTGAGTATTTCATGTCTGGTTATGGTGTCTATAAAGTAGCTCCCAAGTCTACTTCAATATTGATACGTAAAATAACATTCTATAGGCCTACTATGTCTATGAAGTAGCAATATATTCAACAGCAGACACAATAAAAATATGTATATCATAATATAATTAAGTTTCAGAAATAAACATACCTTTTCAGCTGTTTTCTGGGGCCAGTTCCGCTCGTCGATGGTCCGTCATTCGACAACAAACTCGTTTCTCTACGAGTGGGACTAGTAATATTTTGAAAATTTGTCGGGCTTATTTTCTTGGGAAGAATCACTAAAATGGGATAATGAGGCATCGGAGTATGAGGAGTCACTATCTCTTGATGAAATTTCATCGCTAGAATAATTGCTGGAAGACATTTTGGTGTGATTTGGAGACGTTTGATGAACGAAAATCAGCAAAAGTCCGATGCGCACTAATTCAAATAACGGGTCATTTTCAAATTACGTACGGGTACTTGCGTACTGTCCTCTACGTTGAAACTTTGCACACACATAGAACGGGAATATCTCGATCGAATGCTTTTTTTTCTATTAATAAAGGAGATTTTTTTTTTGGGTTGAAATGTCTATGTGTACATTTTCTTTTTACACATGGTTTATGTATGGTTATCTTTGAGTGCACTAGTCACTACTATAGTTTGTAAATAAAATCAAGAATATTAATAAAGGAACAAAATTGAAATTTCGTACATTTTCTTTTTTCACATTGTTTATTTATGGTCATCTTTGAGCTCACTATTCAATATGTGACCCCACAGCTAAAAAGTAAAAACCACCAATAAGTCGCAAAATGAACAACAGAGATAATGGCAGGAGAAGCGGGCTTTTTGAAAAGGATGCCAGTCATAAACAATGAAAATATGCAAGTTTAGAAAATAGACAAAAAATAGTTTACAAATTTGTATCATGTCATACAAAATTTAAGTGCAAAAAATAGGAAGAAAATAGTACTCGCAAATAGGTAAAAAGAAGTCTGAAAAAGAAAAAGGTGAAAAAATAGGGAAAAAGTAGTCTGAAAAAGATTAAAGTGAAAAAATAGGGAAAAAATAGTCTGAAAAAGATTAAGATGAAAAAATAGGGAAAAAATAGTCCTATTTTTTTCATATTTTTTTGGAGAAAATAGGAAAAAATAGTCTGAAAAAGATGAAGGTGAAAAAATAGGGAAAAAGTAGTCTGAAAAAGATTAAGATGAAAAAATAGGGAAAAATTAGTCCTATTTTTTTCATATTTTTTTGGAGAAAATAGGAAAAAAATAGTCTGAAAAAGATGAAGGTGAAAAAATGGGGAAAAATAGTTTGGTACTCGAAAATAGGAAAAAATAGAACTATATTTTTCCTATTTTCTTATAGGAAATAGGAATAAATAGTCTGAAAAAAAAATATAGGTGAAAAAATAGGGAAAAAATAGTTTGTGCTTGAAAATAGGAAAAAAATAGGACTATTTTGTTTCTATTTTCTTGAAGGAAATAGGGAAAAAATAGGAAAAAAACTAAACACAAAACTACTAGGGATACATGTAATTCAGTTCAAAACTCTAACATGAATAGGTTAAATACGCTAATTATTTGTATCCAATTGTAACTGGGTTTCAATTTATAAAATAAAAATGAAAAATAATTCTTGGTGATACAGGTTTTGAAACCTTTTTAAAATTTGAGTGGTGAATCTTTATCTTTTCTATACGAAAATGGGTTGCTATTATTGCAATCTATCACTACAATTTGAAGCAGATGGGGCTCTTTCTTGAATTGCTTATTGTAAATATACATTGATATTTGAATCAATTAGGAAGAATTCAAAAGAAAATATATATTATGCAGTTTCTTCCGGAATGTTATAATCAAATCGCATGTGCGGTGGCTTAAAATATAATATTAATACAATAGTTGCTTCTAATTAGAGGCTAATGACTTATATATTGTATTTTGTCGTCATCAGGGTAATAATGTGCAGGTGAAATATAAAAGTGTTTTATATTTGTTTTCAAGTGGGGGCCCGGTGTTTAATAGTAAGTTTGTAAACACAACCCGTGTCAGCTATAACGTGTAACACATGCAGGATGGTCTAAACCATGCGTTCTGAGAGAGATAGTTGTCACAAGCGCACACTTACGCGATCAAAGGAACTCCAAATAGTTCCACAGACATACAGTATTTATGGGAAGGAACTATTTGGAGCTCCATGAATTGACCTCTGATCACGATCAACTTGCAATCGCATCCATCAATCAACTCAGCCCTGCCCCTTGTAGCTATTTGCAAGCTGGTTTAGACATTTATTACTGAAACAAATCAAAACACTTTAAATGGCTCAATAAAGTCTGTGCTTGACAATTATCTTACCGCTTTCAGGTTCAGACTTAGATGATGAGTCTCCACTGGAATCAGCATGAACACAAACCACCATCATCACCACCAGTGCTAAGATGAGTAACTTCATGACTGCGTTAGATAACGGCTACTAAATACAAGGATCGACAAAAACACTGTTGCAAATTTGTGTTTCACTGATGAAAACAGATGTGTAACTTTTCTATAAAAAAAATCATAGGATAGTGCTCAAATTTTGCTAATTTGTTTGTGTCGCTTTTACTAAAACCAACTAAATATCATGGTAGACTTCCCTCTTTAAAACAGTTGCATATTAACATTTTACATATAAAACTATAAAACTACAAAGGACCACAGATGTTTGTTGGGTAAGAAATAAAACCAACACTAAATGTTTAACCAAGTTTTGGTGCATTTTACCTAATTACAAACATGCATTAATAATGGCTCATGCCCAAACTAGAGTTGAAAACAGTTAGTATTTCGAAAGCAATTAACAATTTCGGAAGGCAGGTGTAAGTCTGTGTGAGTAATGAGGATTAACGCCTTATTAAAAGACACAAGCACCCTCTAATGTTACGAACCCGGGATCTCCCGCGTTTAATACGCACTAAAAGCCCGTTACACAAGGGGCGAACAAATGTCTGAAGAAATGCAGACCTACGCTAAACAACTGAATATACATTAATTTTTCCCAAATCCAGAATCTCAACTACCGAAAAACGCTTTATAGTGGCTGCTTCGAAAGATAATTAACCTGACGTCCTGTCTTGCCACTTTCAAAAGATCCATTAAAACATAATTCTTCCCTCAGTAATAAAGTATGATTCACCTATCAAATAGTTTTATGTTTCTCTTCACATTCTGTTAGTTAGTAAGCGTTAAGGTACTTTGTGTGTTAACGCTACTAAATATTCGATATCATTTTGAATACAATTACAAACTGACAGGATCAGAAAGACGTTTCATGTGCAACAAGCATAACGTAAGGGATGTTGGTCCTACCTGATTTCGATGCGGTCTTTGAGTAGAATTCTGTGAGATGATGATTACTTTCTCGTAGCTTGATGTGGCAAAGTGTCTCTACCCAGATTTCTGTTGCATTACTGTCTAGATAGCTTCCAGTTTTATAGGATATCGAAGCCTGCCATGACCATCTGCTCGTAACAGACAAGTCACCATATTCATATAAAATTGAACGAATCAATCAACGTCAAAGAATTGTTTCATCATTGCTCTTTAATTATTTCATATTTTAAAGTACCTGCATTTGTATCTATCAGGAATAAACGCTGTTCACCGCATCCGTCGCTCCAACCATAGCCCATAATTTATACCAATACACCATGTTGATCAAATATGGAAAGATTTGAAGAAAGAAAAAAAAATTACCATGCACTGACAGGCTTTAGTTCCAATCATAAATTCTCTGTGACTGACTTAGCACTTATTTCTGAGGGACCAGTCACTGAAGATCCATGATTTTTACAGGTGCCTCGAAAAGTTCAAATACAGTATATTTGATTGACATCGTTCATCAAAAAATGAAAAAAAAAACTAAGCATGTAAGCTATGAAGCTGTAGATATCAAGTATCAATTCACACCTTTCTACAAAATACACACGAACACACATACGCACATACTGTGGGAATCTTAATGGAGGGGGGGGGGGGGTTGTATTTGTTGTTCATTTTAAATATTATTTTCCTTTAATTCTGAAGAAACACAAGGATTACTAGGGCATGGAAAAGAACTTATAAAGTATTTGAATACACACAAGAATTGGTATGATTTGATATGTATACAAGACACATGGTTGCAGGAAAATAGAGTTCTTCAAATAAGTTCTTGAATAAAAATGATAAAGTTATTATAGTATGCGATTTTAACGCTCATGGTACCATATGGGGAAGTGACAAAACAGACAAGAATGGACAAGTGATAGAACAATTTGTGAATCATCATAATCTAACTGTTTTGAATGATGGCGAAGGAACCAGACTGGATACACGAACAGGAAAACTGTCATGCTTAGATTTATGTATAACCACTCCTTCACTGGCATATAGTAAAGATATTGTCTCCGACCAGGAGAAAGCAAATGCCTTTGGAAATTTCTTTAAAAAAATAGGAATAAAAGACAGGGATACTAATAAGGCATTACCGAAGGCACCAAACGATGACATTTATATTTTGAATGTTGATCATGTTATTAATGAACCCTTTTTTATAACAGAAATTGAAAAGGCAGTGCAATCGCGAAAAAGGACTGCCCCAGGAAAAGATTATATACCATACGTTGTGTATGAAAACCCGCCAAAAGCAATCAAGGATATCATGCTGAATATCAACTTAATATGGAAAACCGGGAAAATTCCAATTCAACTAAAGCATTCTGTAATAATCCCTATTCTCAAACATGGAAAAGATCCTAGAAATACATCTTCTTATACAGGGCGTATCATAATAAAGGATATTGAAGTTTAATGACGATTTATATGAAAACTACTGATTTCATAATCAAGCACTTATGTCTGTTGTAAAGGACAGAATGTCCTCTTTTTAATAACACCCCAATCATACTTCTACTGTCACAGTTGACTGAATAACAAAGCATTGCTGTCCACCATGTGAAAGGTGCACCGTGACAAGTTAGCATTCACAGATAAATTCTAAAGATTAGTGCTTGTGTCAGCCCAGACATATTGAAATGCTGAACAATGAGTGGATTATGTGTCTAAGAAGGAAATGTTATCAAACTTGGCACAGTGCACCTTTCACATGGTGGACAGCAATGCTTTGTTATTCAGTCAACTGTGACAGTAGTAGTATGATCGGGGTGTCATTAAAAAGAGGACATTCTGTCCTTTACAACAGACATAAAATGCTTGATTATGAAATCAGTAGTTTTCACATAAATCGCCATTAAACTTCAATATCCTTTATTATGATACGCCCTGTAGACCAATTGCTTTAACATCATGTTTTGCCAAGATTATTGAACGAATGGGAAAAGCATGAATTATTACCCAATTTTTTAAGTGGATTTAGGAAAAGTCGTAGTGTGACGGACAATTAGAAAACGACATCCAAAAGAGCATAAACTGTAACGAACATGTAATAGCAGTTTTCTTGGATGTCGAGAAAGCGTTCGATACAGTTTGGAAAAAGGGTCTGGTTTTTAAATTAGCAAAAAATGGGATAGAAGGGAACATGCTGAGGTATATAGAAAATTATCTAAAAGCACGAACTTTTCTAGTACGAATTGGAAATACAGCATCTAAAACTTATAAAACACATAACGGGTTACCACAAGGGAGTGTTTTAAGTCCTCTTTTATATGACATAATGATGGGTGATATACTGACAGAACAAGATGTAAGAATATCTATGTATGCAGATGACTGCGCAATATGGATATCAGGCAGGAACATTGTACATATTACTGAAAAATACAGAAATATTTGAATCTTTTAATTTGTTGGTTTGAAGAGTGGGGGTTTCGACTCTCACCTGTCAAAACAGTGCCCGTATTTTTAACGAAAAGCTCGAATGCCGTTTTACCGCCTGATATAGAACTGAATGGAAATGAGCTAATGTACGAAAAATCTCATCGCTTTTTAGGGGTTATATTTGATAAAAAGGTTAACTTGGCAACCACATATCAAAAATGTAATCACGAGAAGTAAAAGAAAATTAAATATCTAAAGATGTCTAACTGGAACAAACTGGGGAAGCTCCTCGAAATCACTTATTATAGTGTACAGAGCACTTATAAGATCTCTTTTTGATTACGGATGTGAGGTGTATGACAGTGTAGCTGCTACCACCAAAAAGCCATTGACTCTTCTTCTTCTTATCGAGTCACTACACAAGTCCCGTCCAGTGGTCCACACAGGCTTTGGCACGGCAATTCACGGCTTCCAGGTCATCTTGGGTGCATGGCTCTGGCAGGAGTGGGCAGACTAGCAGGTGTTCCATTGTCTGTTCCTGGCCGCATTCACATGCCGTTTGTTCGTCTCCTAGACCCCACCTCTGCATTAGGACTCTGCATCGACCGTAGCCAGTTCTTAGGCGGTTGAGGCTAAGCCAGGTAGGCCAAGTCTCACTGGAGCCGGTTGCGAGGGATTCCTTCGGGCCATTGACTCTGTCTAATACCAAGCACTGAAGGTATGCGCAGGTGGGCTGCCCTTAAAGGTACTATGTCCCATTTGCAGGCCAAAAAAATGAAAAAGTTAAATTCCAACTGCATTTGTAAGATAATACTAATTTAGAACTTCCCTAAAAAAGGTGGGGTTTGAAAATGTATTTAAGTGGGAAAATAACGACTATTAGTTGTCAAATCGACTTTAGGGCTATAGAGCCCAAAAGTAATAGTCTTGATTTTCAGACAATTGTACCGAATGGTCATACATTTTATGCTGCGCAAAGATTCAATCAGTTTAATCTTGGCCATCACAAGAAGTGGGTTATTGATGTAGACAAATGCTCATGTACCCTTTACAACTATTTTCATGTATTTTATTACCAAAGAAGAAAAAAGCCAGTCAGTCACTCAATAGTGTCTGACAGTGAAGTCTAGCAAGTAAACAGGTTTCCTTGCATAATTTGAATATGAGGACACTGCTAACGTTTAAATTTCACAGATAGGACATACATGACATATTCATAATTCCTGCAAAGTTCTACAGAATTTGAGGTTGGCTGCAAAAGGGACATAGTACCTTTAACCTCCTTAGGTGGAAATGGGGGAAATGCCTTTGGACATAAGAAGACAAATGCTTTCAAGTAAATATCGACAAAACATCGAAAGATGGGCGAATCATCCGTACGGTTGTTGAAAAACATTGAACCATGTTGGCATTTTCAATACCTGAAGGGGAAAAACGTAAACAAACCTTTTGGATATAGATTACAAAGCAAGCTGGGAAAACGTTTAGAAACGATAACCCCCTCCCCATTTCCACCATGGCGTATCAGGACAATTACCCCCTGGGCAATCACCCCACGGTAAATTACAACCCGGAAAACTACCCCCACGGACAATTACCCCCCAGAAAAATTACCCCCCAGAGAATTACCCCCCCCCCCCCAAGGACAATTACCCCCCCAGAAATTACCCCCCGGAGAATTACCCCCCGAGGACAATTACCCCCCAAGGACAATAACCCCCTGGAAAATTACCCCCGAGGACAATTTCTATGTTATTTGTAAAGTTCATTTTAGTGTTTTCAAATTATTTACTTCGATGTGGGGGGGGGGGGGGGGCTGGGAATTGCCTAATTCCCCCGTAGTTTTGCTACCGAGTAAAGAACAGAAATTAAATGTTTTGAAGAAATTGAACAATACATCGCGCGCAGATGAATACGCCTTACAGCCTCTTTCACCGGAAGCTTTAATGTTTCATTAAATTATTGGAGAAAGAAGACGATTCGTTGTACCGTTCTCGACTCTTAATCCTTGTCTAAATTCAATTACTTTTGACGTTTAATTAAATTATTAGAGAAAGAAGACGATTTGTTGTACCGTTCTCGACTCTTAATCCTTGTCTGAATTCAGTTCACCCCTCTTGTTTGAATGAAGTTCCCCTTCCCCCGCGCGTAGCGCCGAAGCTCTGACATGTCATTAAATTGATAAAGAAAGAAGACGATTCGTTGTACCATTCTCGACTCTTAATCCTTGTCTGAATTCAGTTCACCCCAGAGCCCTGGGAACGATTTTTTCACCGGGGGTGCTGAGATATATATATATATATATATATATCCATAGTAGGAAGCATTTGCAACTTTATAACCACAAATTAGTCGCATTTTCACACACTTCCTTGAGTAATATAATGTAAAATTGGTTTCTCCTACCCCTCTAAGAGTAGGGATCTTTTGCAATTTGAGAACCACATTTGGCGCATTAATGTCCACCTGCACTTCCTGGAGAGAAAAAAAAACGAGACCTTCTGATTAGTTAGAGGTTAGAGAAAAGTGATCTGTCACGTCTCGAGACGTTGCATATGCTTCGTTGCTGCACAAAGATGGTGGTCTGGTCAGTGGCGGATCCAGGGGGGGGGGGGGGGGTGAAGGGAAAAAAGGAAAAAAGGGGGGAGTGTTACTTCCCCCCAAGCCACTGAACGAAATATCTGACGACGTAATTTTCCCAATTTCCGGGGCCAAAAAAACAATTGTGGAGAGAAATTAGGGAAAGAAAAAAAAAAGAGAAAGAAGAAAGGTAGGGGAGATCAGTTGCGATTTTTCCGCCAACAAAGTGTAGATCGGGGGGGGGGGGGGGCGGGGCACTGGATTCTTGATCGGGGAGGGGGTTTATTTATGATTCCATAACCGTTACGGTGGTTTACACATAATGATGAAATGACATAATTTTCTGAGATTTTTCCTCATTTTGTAGTAAATTATACATTTTTATGCGTTTGTTGTAAAATGACCAATTCCTAAATTTACAGTCAGGCAAGAAATATGCTTCTTGAGGTGCCTACATGTCAGGGCCCGCGGAACGGCGGGGATCGGGAGCTTCCACCTCCCCCTCACACTTTTTTGACAAAGTATATTAAAGAGAAATAGAAAGAAAAAGAGCAAGAAAGAAAGAATAGTTAAC